CGCCCCCAGCCCGGCCACGCCGGCCGCGGCGGGCGCGGCCACGCCGCGGTCCCCGCCGTCGACGGTCAGGCCTTGAGCGCCGCCGTCCTCTGAGGGGTCGGCCCCCAGCTGGCCGTCCTCGAACGCCGAGACGAACGTGCCGGCCGGCAGCACGGTGCGCGCCGCGTCGGCAAGGCGGACGGCAAACAGCAGCCGGCCGTCCTCGTTGAGGAGCTCCCCGCCCTCCAGATCGCAGAGATCTTTTGGCTCCTCGACTTCCCCAATCGTCTCCTCGGGCCGCGCCGCCGCCGCCGCCGCCGCCGGCGGCGACGTGCCGTTGCCGGCAGTGGCGTTGGGCGCCGCTGCTGCGCGGGCAAGGGCGGGGGAGGGGCCCTCTGCTGGCTCTCCTGCATCGATTACCTCAAAACCAGACGCCTCCTGGCCGCCGCGGGCGCCCGCAGCGCCCCCAGGCGTGGCCGTGCCGTTCGCCCCCGGGGAAGAAACCACGGTGGCATTGCTGCTGCCAGGGATAGGGCCCCGGGCAGCTTCCAAGACGACGGCAGCTTCCTTTGCGGGGGTCGCGGCGCCCGCCGCTGGCTGCTGCGGCGACGGGGGCGGCTGGGCGGCGGCTGCCTTGGACCGCACGAAGAGCTTGCGCAGGTTGAGGAGGCCGGTCGGCAGCAGCGACGGGCGCCACCGCTGCTGCGACGCTTTGGGGAGCAGCTGCCGAGCGGCGGGCAGCGCTTGCGCCACCGCCGCCGCCGGCGTTGGCGCCGACGCCGGCGGGGCCGCCGTCTGCGGGTCCTGGGCGGGCGCAGGCTGCAACTCGGGCGTGTCGATGGCCCCCCGCTGCGCTGGCTGGAGGTTCGCTGCGTTTGGCTGCTGCTGCTGCTGCTGCTGCTGCTGCTGCTGCTGCTGCTGCTGCTGCTGCTGCTGCTGCTGCTGCTGCTGCTGCTGGCCTGCCTGCGGCTGCTGCGGCTCCAGCTGCGGCTGCTGCGGCTCCGGCTGCGGCTCTGCCAGCGGCTGCACAGCTGGCTGCTCCCCGAGTGTAGGCGGCTCTTGCGGCACCCCCAGCTCCTCTGCAGCTGCCGGCGCACTCGACGCCCCCTGCCCCGCCGCACCCTGCTCGTCCGCCGGCAGGTTCTGCACTTGCTGCTCCTCCAATTGGTGCAGGCCCTGCTGCTGTCCCGCCTGCTGGTCAGCCTCCTGTGTGTCGTCCCCCGCCGGCGCCGGCAGCAGCACCCTGGGCAGCCTCGGCTTCGGCTGCGGCCCTAGCGGCTCTGCCCCTTGCTGCGAGGCAGCCGCGGGCCCCGCCGGCGCCGCATCTGCACCAAGGCTGCTGGCGGCGGCTTGCTGGGGGGCACCACGGCGGCCGCTCAGCAGCTGCGGGCGCGGGGCGGGAGGGGATGACATGAGGGAATCTAGGAAAAGTGGCGGGGCCTCGAGGTGGGCGGGGCCGCTTCCTTGCAGGAGCCGGGCGGCAGCTAACAGCGGAGCGCCATCATGAGCGGTCAACATATCCACAATCACCAAAGCCAGCCTGTCAACCGAGGCAAAACCCACCTGCCAGAAGCTCAGGCGGGCCTGAGGTGCTGCAGCTGCTGCACCTGCGTGCAGGAGTAGCGCGTGCGCGCCTGTCACGACGGCACCCGTGCGCGGTGGTCGCAAAAATATACTGCAAACCCAAGCATTCGTTTTCATCCGCTGGATACGTCGATGAGCGCGCCAATGACGTTCTACGGCTGCCCTACCGTGGATGCCCTGCAGAGCCACGAGCGTAACAAGTAGACTTGTCAAGATACTTGATTTCCTCATCACGCCATCCAGAGGCTCTGTCTCCCACGCGTAGAGACGCCGAACGACAGCGCTGTCACTGGTGCTGCTATAGTTATGGCTGTGTTACGTTAACACATGTATTGATTGTGAACACATTAAACAGATCCCAGTCTCGCAGCACAGCTCCTCAGCAGCTTCTCAACTACCGGGCTGTGCAGATTTCTATTGCATGTGTCGCGGCGCAGCGCAACGGTAGACTGCGCGTTGTATATCAGTTTTGGTAAGATAGCCCATGTATAGGTTCGATGGCCTGACGGGGCCCGTCCCACGCCTCCGTCGCTACCCGCTGCCTGTACCGTACGCATGCACTGCTGTCAAGCTGCTGATCCACAACTGCGCAGGCAACGCCATGTACGCGCAGGCAAAAGGCGCACATAGCATGCACCCAAGCCTGAAACGTGATAAACAATCACACTTGCAGGTGTTGGAACTAGGTTGTGGGCTCGTGTAACCGGGGCCACGCTTGTCTCTGCAATGCTGCACACCCTGGTGTGGCCCCTCCGAACGACAGCCGACATGTGTAAAGTAGAGGCAATGTGGCTATGGCATGATGCAAGTGATGTGTGATGTACAGATGTTAAATTTCATCGGAAGACCCAACAGATACGTCATGAAGGTACAACACAAGTCACAAGGTCTGTGCATTGGCATGATATGTCGGTGTATTGCCAGCAGGTGCCTAAGATGAGCGCGCAGGGCAGGCCGGGCTGTGACGTGTGTGTGCGCGCAAGGGCGCGGAAGCAGGGGTGGCTTGTTGCGCGTATGCGTGCTGTACAGGTGGGAGGTGGTGAGGTGAGGAGCAAGCTGCAGCAATGAGAGTGTCGCCTTGTGCAGCGCGTTTGTTGTGAGTCGGCCGTGCCCAGAAAACAGAGTACTAGAATCCGTTGGAAATGACATGTCAACATGGGAGTAGATTTTTGTATTCAAAACAACAGATAGACAGACACCACTGCAAAATAAACCCCGACAATGTGTGGTGAGCCTCAACTAATTGCAGGGATGAATTCAAAGACGTCCTCCTAGTACTGACAAAATTGGCAGTGAGCTTTGAGGTATGAAGCTCAAATTGAAACCATCCTGAATTGGTTTTTTCGAGCCACCAGACCTCCCCTCCAGCTACCCAGCAAAAAGGCAGCTGTCCTGTCAACGCTATGCCACTGCCAAGCAAAAAGACAACAGCCAGCTATCGAATCCGAATCCGGATTTGGAGTGAGGGTGCGTGTGTGATGATGAGGCACGCGCCGCATATGCAGGGAGATGTTTTGCGGCTTTGTGCTGCAGACCAACTCTTTTCCAAACGGCCTGAGATTCTTGTCAGATTCTTGTCATGTTCAGCATCCACACGCGAGCCTGTCCTTGCTACAAGATCTGCATCAGAGGTATTCACTGTGGTAATAACGTTTACAAGACAAAACAGCGGCGTGGTTATCTACAATCATTACAAAAAAATAAACACCTGCACCCTAGCGAGTATAGTAGGTCGTATGAACAGCATGTACTTCCGACGAGTCCTCTGTTGTGTTGTGGCACGGCCATGCACAAAATTGCAGCCGCCTGTCTTGGGAGCTGCGGAGTACATGAACGCTGCGCTCGGCGCAAGAGCAGAAAAAACACTTGCTTGGTGAATGGGTAGATCTGGAAGCCTGCCAACAGTTCCTTCACGCTCGTGGGTGCATGGCAAACAGTGCGGACTGAGTTCAGGCGCATTGCCTCGTGGCGTTGTCAGGTCTTTTGGGGTGAAAAAATCCCTTGCTGCCGTGCGTGCCACCTCGTACCAGCCCGATGCCTGACAAACCCACCCGCCGCTGGGGTCGACTCCCCACGCTGCCTGCGCCGCTCAGCCAAGGAACGACGGCAGCTGGAAGACGCTGCCCCGCGCCTGCGAGAATGGCGCCGGCGCGCCCACCGAGACGGGCAGCAGGTTGAGCTTCCAGCCCACGAGGTTGATCGCGGGCACGCCGAGCTCCACGATGTGCAGCAGCGCCTCCCAAGCCTCGGGCGTCAGGCCGGCCACGAGGTTGAGGGTGTTCACGAGGAGGTCGGGGTTGAGGGCGGCAATGGAGGGGATCAGCCTCTTCAGGACGTTCACGTCGAGCTTGCTGAGGTAAGGCGCGATCGCGACGATGATCTTGGGGTTGATCTTGGCGGCGACCTCGATCAGCCGGGCGACGATCGCGGTGTCCAGCTGTGGTGTTGTCGCGAGGGGGGGGGGACGTTCATGAGAATTCGATACAGACGGGGACAAGTGGGAGGCGCGCAGGTTGGTGAAAGCGCTGCATTCCTGCTGGTAGGTAGGCAGCAGCAGCACCTGGCTTCTGCACCCTCCGATGGAGGGCGCTCCTCGAGTGGCGCATCATCCGCAGCCGGCCGCACCCTGCGCCGCTCCACTCTGCGCCGCCCCTTCCCACGCTTTTCGATGTCATTCGTGGGAACGGCCCTCACCCGCCCACCAGAAACCCCCCAAAACCTATCCAATGCAAAGCACGCACATCCTTGAGGGCGGGGAGCAGGGCTTGGATGATCTTCCCCACTTCAGCCGGGTCCGCCTTGCCGACATACGGCAGCAGGATCTCAACCCAGGTCACATTGATCTGCAAGGGACGCCGCGAGAGGAGGTCCACAGGGAAGGGGGGGGGGAGGGAGGGGCGGTGTGAGTGGGTGAGCACAAGGCCGGGGCCGAGCACTGCGCGCGAGGGGAGCGAGCGAAGCAGGGGCGTGCCGCCTGTTGGCGCTGCGGCGGCCCGCGAGCCCGCTCCTGCATGTCGCAAAGAGCGCGTGCGCCTGCGGCAGCCGGCGCGCTGTCCAGTGGTGAAGCCGCCGCCGCGAGTGCGCAGCTATGAACATCCTTTGTACGGCACCCACACGTCGCGTCACGGGTCGGCGCGCGCGACGCTCACGCACGCCTGCGCAGGCCGCGGCGCCCCGGCGCGCCACGGCAAGGCGCACCTTGGGGGTCAGCTTGCCAATCTCGGCGAGGAGGGGGGCCGGGATCTTGGAGAGCAGCGGGAGCAGCGGGGTGATCGCGTTGATGTCGAAGCCGGTCACGTCCGTCGGCACCTCCGACAGGGTGCCAAAGTCGGAGCCGGTGTCGGCGGCGGCCGCGGGGGACGCAGCGGGGGCAGCCTTCGGGGCGGCCTTTGGGGCGGCCTTGGGGGCGGCCGCCTGCGCATGCGCGCCTGGGAAGGCAGGCGCGGGGCGTCGGGCGACGCGGGGGCAGGGAGCGGCGGGGTGGATCATGGGAGTTGGGCGGGGTGATGGTCTAAGCAAGCTCTCGCACGTTTGGACTCTGGCTGCAGCAAACAGAGGCAGCAGTGAAATTTGGGCGCGCTGTACATCCAGGATTTGCTGTGCGCCTTTCGCGGTGTGGCCGTGCAGGTGCCCAACCCTCGCCAGCACGGCGGGCGAGCTCTGGGGGTCCGCTGTGCGCGGCGCTGCCATGGCTAGCGGCGGATGCTATCGAGAGGTACGCGTCTGGCAACCCTCCCGGTTGTCATCAACGTGTATTATTTATGTTTTCGTCGGGCAATGGGGCCCTGAGGAGGCCCGCGCGAGCCTGTCACTAGACCCGGCTAACCCACTCCCCGCTGAAAACACGGCCGTTGTAGCCATGGCAGCTCACCCGCAAGCATAGCCAGCAAGACTCCAGCCAAAATCACGGACCGCGCCATGGCTAGCGGTGCAAACCGGGTGGGCCGAGGCGTCGGGGGCAGGCAGGAAGCTGGTGTGCGGTGATGGCTATGTATAGAGTCTGTGGCGCAATGTATCAGATTTTGGACGTTTACAGGAGGGCTTGGGCAGGCAGGTGTTCCGTTTGCTGCAACGGGTCACTGGCACTGGGTGTTGCACACTTGGATGGGCTGGGTGAGACGGACTCTGGAGACGATTTTGAGCACTAAAGGAAATTCTCTAGATTTATTTTGCAGCTTACGATCGACTTCTGAGCCAGAGCGTGCTGTTGAAACTTTTCAGTGTGGAGGGGTGTGTGCACCACCGGCCCCCCCACAGCACTATACCTAGGGAAATTGCGTCGCCAAGCACCAAGCAATATATTCGATTGTCTGTCATCTAGATTCTTCCACGTTCGGTATCCTTGGCCAACGTACTGTTTAGGGCGCTCGAACGCAGGCTCAACGCCTGCAGAGGGCACCCTCACTGGGCCCCAGGACTCGCTGATTGCTTGCGATTTGTCATAGCAGGTTTGAGCTGGAACTACAGGCTCCCACGATCTTTGCCACCGCGCCTCACCGTATGTGTCAGTGCGGTCCGCCCGGAGCAGATGCAGGTGGCACAAGCAAACATCGAACCCATCAAGGTGCGGGCGAGCTTGTCATCTGGGCTGCGGCTGCAGCGCAGGGCGGGTGCGGCGGAGGAGGGGGGGTGCGTCGGATCACATTGCCAACACCGCTGCGTCTCCAGTTGCGATTGCACAGAGCTGCACACAGCGCGTGTCGTAGGCCTGCCCCAACTGCACAAATCCTGCCGGCCTCATGGCGTGCCCGCGCCTGTCCCTGCGCGCCTACGCAGGACCCCCAACGCTGCCTGCTGCTTAGTGAACAGCAGCAGCAGCAGCAGCAGCAGCAGCAGCAGCATGGTGCGTCAGACGTGGTGCGCGGAGCGGCATCTGCAGCCGCAGCCGCGGCGCACGCAGACTTTCTGGACGAGCGCCTGGGGCGCTTCATCGAAAGCCTGCGCCACCTCGACGCCGGCGCCTTCCTCCCCCCCTCGCCCGCACACTCCGACTGCGGCGGCGGCGGCGGCGGCGCGGGCTGCGACGCGAGCACGGTCAGCATCTCTCCCAGCGACTCGGCGAGCTGCTGCTACCGCGCGCAACGGCCGGCGACATCGCTTGCCCGCGCCGCCGCGGAGGACGATTGGGTCGATGATGAGGACGAGAATGAGGGCGGGCCCGACGCGGGGGCCTGGATAACCGGCCTATGCGCCGACGGCGGCGGCCCCGCCGACGCAGCTCGCCCTGCGCCGGACTCGCAATCGGCGCTGGAGCGCACGCTTGCCCGCCAGCTGCGCCAGCTGCAGCTGGCGCGCAAGGCAGCCATGGCGGCCGCGGCCGACGCCGAGCGGGGCGCCGGCGCGCGCCGCCCCGCGCCCGGCAGCCTTGAGGCCGGCGCGGTCGGCGCAGGGTGGGACGCGCTGCTGCACTGCTCCCCAAGCAGCGCCGCAAGCTGCTCAAACCCCCGGCCCGACGCCGCCGCCTGCGGCATACGCCCGACCGCGCTGCACTTCGGCGGCACCCCTCCCAGC